GGCCGTCGCTATATGGAGAACTGGTGTAAGAGAGCAGGGTCCTTCCTGTTCTTGGCCCCCCTCCTCCATAGCTGTAGGTGCAGCCTCTCTGCTTTGCTCTCCTTCTTCTGTCAGCATTGAAGTATGCAAGTGTTTGATTGCCTCTCTCAAATGGACCTGAAGCCGTTGGTACTCACGAGCTTCCATTTTATTGATTCCTAAAATGGTAGTACTGCATAACCAACAATGACAGGGCAATAGCAAGGCGATCTCTTGCACCAGGGAATATTGCCTGCCTTTTTCTCAAGTGTTTCAAAATGAAAATCTTTCCTTTTTCAAATCAACACCTTACATTAGCTCCTCAGTGCAGCTTGAGGCCCTGCCAAGCTCCTCCATCCATACTAGACTGGATGCTCTCACTCAGGGGCTTAGGATGGGAAGAAATACAGGGCCTTGATTGCTCTCCAGGTCTATGCTGCCTTTCTTGTTCCAACAGAACCAAAACAGAATGCTCTTTTCTCGTTCTTTGAAGTTGCTTCTCAGTATCTTGAAATGACTCCATAAGTAGCTCTTTGAAATGTCACGTACTCGTGTTCATCCAGTACTGCTGCGTCCCCCCTCTTTGTCTTGATATGTAATACCTGCATATTTCAGCATTACTTGTTTCATCTTCCAAGCTTGTGCAGAAAGGGGCTGAGGTTGGAGACATTTTTTCCTGGGCAGGTGAAACCTAACATGGCCCTCCACACACTGTAGACATTTAGTACATGCTCTTTGACTTGAACTGGACAAGGAAGGGATAGTTCAGAGTTGTTTGGATGTGTCCATTTCAGCAAATTCGGTTGTATGTACAGAGACCATATCCCCTGACTGCAAGATGAAATGGAGCTCATGCTCAGCCTTCCTTGTTGTGGTCCATTAGCAGATGAATAAGAAAGTTCTTTGAGTCCAGTGATGGGAGAGGTCTCACACGTTGCATTCCCAGCCTCTGGATTTTTGGACTATTGTCATGAGCAGTTTTAGAATAGGTTCATTTTTGTTTTGCTTGTTGGTATGTTTGGGGGTGGGAAGGGGTAAGGGAAGTTGAAGGGTAATAATTGAAAGTAAAAATAAAAGTAACTTGTTTGTAACTCATTCTGTTCTCATTCCCTTGCCTACAGACCTTGACAACACAGTGATGTCCTTTCATTAACTTGTGATAATTGTTCTATATTGGTATCATGTCCTTGGGCTTTCCGTGAGAAGGAAGCATTGTTTCCTAGAGCCTCTTAAAACGGAACGGGCTGCTATGTCACGGCACCATGCTTTCCCCTTCAGGGGAGCTCTTGAGGCTGAGGTGGCCATAAAGGGGATTCGTGGCACAGATGGTGGCACTTGAAATGCCCTCGTCTGAGCCTTAAGTTCCTTTTCGGCCCCAAGATGACTTAGGTGGGGCCTCAGGAGAACAGGGACTGTGCTGTCAGGGTTCGTTCCGGCAGTCCTAGAATTGACCTGAGCTGTTTTGCTAAAAGGAGAAATGCTCCTGCAGGGCAGTGACCCCCAGCCATGCTTGTCAGTAGTACTGGGTGGGTCACAGTGACAAGGAAGATCCGCACTTGGTTTCAGGGAGACCCGAGGAGACCACTGCCCTTGACACTAGTTATGTGGCGGGCAGGATATGCAAAAGCTCAGTGGACATTCCGTTTTGAGCTTTCTGGTCCTGACATGTTCCTTGCCCACATTGATGCTTCCACATCTGAGAGAGAAAGGGAGTCCCTAGATGGAGGGCAATTGGAGCTGGCCCTCACCTCTTTATAGTTCTTGCTGTGAGGCCGAACAGCTGAGTTTTTAAAGTTGAGGCTGAGTGCAACCCATTTCCTTTCTTTACTGTTACCAGCTCTGACATGACATGATCATTTCTCCAGAGGTCCCCATCACCTCTGTGCCACAAAACAGTTTTTCCTTGTTGCTAATTGTCCAGATGCTCCTGCCCTTCCTCGGCTCCTGGGAGCTTAGGAGAAATGCAGAATTTGACGCCCCTCAGATCTACCCAGCCAAGAATCTGCATTTTAATGACACCCCTAGGTGATCTGTATGTACATTAAAGTTTGAAAAGGCTGGTTTAAGTAATAGTTCACATCCTGGCTTCCCCATGATCCTTTGAGACCTTGTGGTCCATTAGAAAGATAATTCAAGCCACATGTGTAACCCATGTTCCTAGTAGCCGCATTGAAAGAGAAACAGATGAAGTCAATTTTTATAATATATTTAACCTAGTAGATCCAAAATATTATCATTTCAACATGCAATCAGTGTAATGATTAGTGAGTGGTCTCCCCTCCCCTTTTTTTTGTATGAAGTTGTTAACATCTGGCACATACTTTACATTTACAGCACCCCTCAAGTTGGACTAGCCGTATTTCAAGTGTTCAGGGGCTACGTGGACTAGTGGCCCCCGTGTTGGACAGTGCAGCTTTGAGAGATACATCCTGGCCTTGATTTGCTGATGATGTCATCAGATTTGCTGTCAGTGCCTGAAGAGCAGTTAGAGCCGGGGTCGCCTCCGTGGTAACTTGCATTAAGGATCTGTGTAACCTGTGGCAAACCCTTAGCCCGTTGCGATCATGTACATCCCATTTGAATCCTCACAACATCCCCACTTTACTGAAGACCATTCTTTCCTCTGTTCCAATTTGGTAAGCCGTATAAAGAATTCACCAGTGGTATATGTGTGAAACGCAGGCTTTTTTCCCGGGTACCGGTATCTGCAAAGAACTCGAGGATCACGCCCTTCTTCTCTGGCTCACCCAAGAGGGTGCGGAGTCCCTAAATAGAAGTTTCCATGTGCTGGAATACTGCAGGTCAGTGGTTTGCGCGCTGGGTCTCATTAGAATCACCTGGGAGCTTTAAAGACCTGCTGCCCAGGCCCCACCCACTGACATTCATATGTACTTAATCTTGGGGGAGATCAAAGGTGTGCATTTTGTTCAGTGCTCCGCCTGCTGCTCAGCTCGAGAACAGCTGCTATAGGAGCGTGTCTCCAGCCTGGGTAAGCCGAGAACAACCCGCACTTCGGGTCCAAACACAGATTCTGACTCAGTGGGTCTGCCGGGTAGGAGAGCGGGCTTCAGTTGCAGCGAGTTCCCAGGCTCTGTCGCTGGCACTTTGACTTTGGGTAGCCAGCCGCCTCGGGATCACCTGAGGGCGTTTCCCAAAAGACAAGTTCCCTGGCGGCAAGCCTGGAGTTTCTGATTCAGGGGGTGCAGGGTGGGGCCCAGGGAGTTGTACTTGAGAAAGCACCATGTTTTCCGTATTACACCACGAAGTATTGGTTTACTTGAGGTTTTGTGTAGGCACAGTTCTAGTGCATATTTGTTTTGGCCTAAGTGGATGTTGAATGATAGCAAACTCCTTTTCTGCCTTTACGGAGCTCTGTTTTTTTTTCCCTCTTGGCACCTGTTAAGCTGATGGAGTATTTTAAGGGATTTTCTAATACAACATTGTAGCATTAACCCGGTTTGCCTGCTGGGGTGAAACCAGCATGTTTCTTACTGCCCGGACTTGATTGGTAGTATTTTCTTCAGGATTTTTAAATCTGTATTTGAGAGTGAGATTCGGCTTTCCTGTACTGTCTTTGCCTAGTGTCAGTTTGCTAGCCTTGTAAAGTGAGTGAGAGCATTCCCTTTTTCTGGTATCTGGAAGTTCCTGTAAGATTGGAATTACCTGAATTCTTGAATGTTTGGTAGGACTTGCCCCCAGAGCCACCTGGGCCTGGTGTATTTGGTGTGGGAAGATGTTAAACTACCAGTTAATATCTGCCATTATGTGTGGTTATGTCTGTCTTTTCATTCTTTTTATTTTTTTTTTAAGATGTATTTATTTGAGAGAGAGAGAGAGAGAGAGAAGGAGCGGGAAGGGCAGAGGGAGAGGGAGAGAGATTCCCAGGCAGACTTGGTGCTGAGCCAGACGCAGGGCGCACTCCCATGACCCCAAGCCGAAACCAAGAGTCGGATGCTTAACCGACTGTGCCACCCAGGCGCCCCTGTCTTTTCATTCTTTTTTTTTTTTTTTTTAAAGATTTATATTTATTGGGCGCCTGGGTGGCTCAGTTGGTTAAGCGACTGCCTTCAGTTCAGGTCATGATCCTGGAGTCCCTGGATCGAGTCCCACATCGGGCTCCCTGCTGAGCAGGGAGTCTGCTTCTCCCTCTGACCCTCCCCCTTCTCATGTGGTCTCTCTCTCTCTCTCTCTCTCTCTCTCTCTCTCTCTCTCTCATTCTCTCTCTTTCAAATGAATACATAAATAAATCTTTAAAAAAAAGATTTTTATTTATTTATTTAACAGAGATAGAGAGCATAAGTAGGCAGAGTGGCAGACAGAGGGAGAGGGAGAAGCAAGCTCTCCGCCGAGCAGGGAGCCTGAATGCGGGGCTCGATCCCGGGACCCTGGGATCATGACCTGAGCCGAAGCCAGCCGCTTAACCGACTGAGCCACCCAGGCGCCCCTGTCTTTTCATCCTTAAATCTTAATATTGTTTGTGTCTTCTTTTTTTTTTTTTTCTTAGTCTTACCAGAGGTTTGTCAGTTGTGGTTATGCAGTATGTTTGTCAGTATGTGGAAATGAATGAACATAATTATATTCTCCAGTTTCTTTTTGATTTTTAATGAGTAAAAATTTTATATAGTTTTATTTTTATTTTTTTTTAAGATTTTATTTATTTATTTGACAGAGCGAGCACAAGCAGGGGGAGCCAGGGGCAGAGGGAGAGGGAGAAGCAGACTCCCTGCTGAGCAGGGAGCCCAATTCGGGGCTCCATCCCAGGACCCAGGGATCACGACCTGAGCCGAAGGCAAAGGCAGATGCTTAACCGACTGAGCCACCCAGGAAACCCCTTTATATGATTTTAAAGTTAAATTTACATCAGGGTGTATTCTGAAAAGCCTTCCCTCCCTGCCTCTTGCCAGGCATTCTGTTTCCCCCACCCCGTCCCCGGTAATCAACATTATTAGGTTTTAGTTTATCCTTCTGTTTGTTCTTTTTTTTTAAATATAGAACGCTTCACAAATTTGTGTCATCCTTGAGCAGAGGCCATGCTAATGTCTGTATTGTTCCAATTTTAGTATATGTGCTGCCGAAGCGCGCACTCTTCTGTTTTGTTTGTTGTGAGTGCTGCGCGCGCGCACACACACACATTTGCATTTCCCCCCCTTACACCAAAAAAGCATATTACATACACCGTTCAGCCTCTTTTTTTTCCCCCACTTAAAATTATATCCTGGAAATCACTCTTCATTTTCTCCTCTCTTTGGATTTATTTTGTGGTTTGGATGTTTCAAAACATTAGAATTATTATTATTTAGTTCTAGGATAGTCTCATTTCTGTTGTGATTATTTCATTCACCTGTGGGTTTAGAAGTATATTTTTAAATTTACAAATACATTTTCTAGATATTTTTAGAACTGATTTCTAACTTCACTGCGTTATGGTTAGGGACTGTGGTCTGAATACCAGCAAGTCTTTGAGATGTGTTGAGGGTAGGTTTATATAGTGTTTTGTGGTTGGCTTCTTTCACTTAGCGTAATGCTTTTTAAATTCATCCATGTTTGCTCACAGATCCACAGTTGGTGACTTTCTGTTGTTGAGCAGTGTTCCACAGTTGTTTATTCACTAGTTGATGAACATTTGAGTTGACTGAGTTTTTGGCCATGGTGAATAAAGCTGCAGTGAACATTTGCTTACGAGTCTTTGTGTGGACTTGTGTTTTCATTTGTGTAAATACTTAGGTGGGGCATCGCTGGGCGGTATGCTTAGTGTATGTTTAACTTTACAAGAAACCGTCATACTATTTTCCAAAGCGCTTGTGCCAATTTGCATTCCCACTAGCAAAGTAAAGTATGAGAGTTCTGCTTGGGCCCATATCCTCAACTCTTGTTATTGTCTGTCTGGTTAAATTGTAGCCATTCTAGTGGGTGTGTAATTGTAGCTCACTGTGATTTTAATTTGCATGTTCCCAATGACTAATGATGGGCAATGAGTGTGTCTTCACAGGCTCGTTAGCCATTCGTACATCTTTGGTGAAGTGTTTGTTCAAATCTTTTGCCTGTTTCTTATTGGATTGCCTGTCTTATTAAATTTTAAGAGTTTTTTTTATATATTTTGATTGTAAGACCTTTATGAGATCTATGATTGGCAAATACTTTCAAACTACAGCTTACCCTTTCACTTTCTTAATTGTGCCTTTGAAAGAGCAAGGTTTTTAATTTTGATGATGTCAGGTTTATCATTTTTTTCCTCTTCAGGTTTATGCTTTTTGTGTTCTAAGAAATCTTTGCCTAACCTAAGTTCATAAAGATTTTCCCTTGTGTCTCCCTCTAGGACTTTTGTAGTTTTAGTACTTATTTATGTTTAGATCTCTTATGTCTCCCCCGCCCCCACAGGTTCATACCCTGTATAATCCCCTTCCCTTGAGTTTACAGCCTGTGAGACCTTGAGGAGAGGATCCAGCTAACCTGTGCCAACTCCTGACCCATGACCCACAGAAACTGCATGATGGTTAATGTATGTTGTTTACAACTACTAAGTTTGTTATGCAGTAATCTAAAACTGATACTTTTTTAAAAAGATTTATTTATTTGAGAGAGAGCGAGCATGTGCAAGCAGTGGAGGGGGAAGGGCAGAGGGAGATGGAGGGAGAGAACCCCAAGTAGACTGCAGGCTGAGTGTGGAGTCCGACACGGGGCTCCATCTCACCACCCTGAGATCATGACCTGAGCCAAAATCAAGAGTCAGATGCTTAACCGACTGAGCCACCCAGGTGCCCCTAAAACTAATACTTCTATGCTTCATTTCGACTCGATTTTGTATATTGTATGAAGTAAGGGTCAGTATTCACTTATTTTTCTATATGGATAGCAAATTGCTCCAGCATCATTGGTGGAAAAGACTGTCCTTTTCCCACTGAATTACCTTGGTACCTTTGCTGGAAATCAGTTGACTGTTGCTAGGAACTCCAAAAGATGGGTCTAATCCTGAAGCCAGTCTTTGGCAATTCCTTTGGACACTTTTTTATTATGGCAAGCTGCCTGCTAGGCAGGCTAACTAGTCCTGCCAGTATCACACTGTCTTGATTACTGAGGCATTTTTAGTAAGTCTGGAAATTGGATAGTGGAAGTACTCCAACTTTTTTTTTTCCCCCCTTCAAAGTTGTTTCGGCTATTCTTGGTCCTTTGCCTTTCCATATAAATTTCAGAATTGTCTTGTCAGTTTCTGCAACAAAGCCCATTGGGACTTCATAGGGATGGCATCAAATCTCTAGATCAATATTGACATCATACCAGTATTGAGTCTTCTGATCCTTGAGCGGGATATGTATTTCCATGTACTTAGGTCTTCTTTAATTTCTCTCAGCAGTGTTTTATAGTTTTCCATGCATGGTTCTTGTATACATTTTGTTAAATGTATCCCTAAAGATTTCATTTTTTTAATATTATGCAGATGTTTTTTTTTTTTACACTTCCATGTCCGTTTGTTCATTGCTAGCAATACAAATATCATGGGTTTTTATGTTGACCTGCATATCCTGCAACCTTCCTAAATTTATTTACCAGTTCTGGTAGTTCTTCTACAGTATTCTTGGGATTTTTTGCATACATGACCATGTTGTCTGTGAATACGATTTTACTTCCAATATGTTACGACTTTCATTTCTTACCTTATTAAACTTGCTAGGATCTCTAAGAGCTATGGAATGCAAGCAATAAGAGCAACCACCCTTGCCTTGTTCCCACACTTAGTGGGAAAGCATTCCATCTTTCATCATTAAATATGATATTAGCTATAGGTTTTTCTTTTTTTTTTTTTTTTTAAAGATTTATTTGACAGAGAGAGACACAGCGAGAGAGGGAACACAAGCTCGGAGAGTGAGAGAGGGAGAAGCAGGCTTCCTGCTGAGCAGGGAGCCCGATGTGGGGCTCGAACCCAGGACCCTGGGATCATGACCTGAGCCAAAGGCAGAGGCTTAATGACTGAGCCACCCAGGCGCCCCAGCTGTAGGTTTTTCATAGGTGCTCTTGACTATTCCTAGTTTGCTGAGAGTCTTTTTTTTTAAATCATGATTAGATGTTGAATTATGTTTGTAGAAGCCATGTCTCAGATACAAGCTTTAGGAAGATGGTATACGTCATGAATAGCCTTGTCGACTCGACATAATCACCACATTAGTATCCCTTACCAACCGCCACTATCCATCTTTTCCTCCTGGTGTTGATAAGAGAATTTCCATCTGGAGCATGGGAATTTTTTTTTCTTCTATGGAGCAGCATATATTGCTCCTTCCAAAAGCCCTGAGAATTCTCTGTCAGATGTGTATATGTCATTGTTACAGTACTGGCGATTCTTCATCTTCTGTTTGCTGTCCTTCTGACACCTGTTTTGGTTCCTCTTCATCTCCTTGCCTTTTTTATTTCTCCCTTTTTCCTTAGATTATTTTCTCACATCTATGAAAACCTTCTCCCTGCTAATAGTGCCAAGCTTCAGAAGTATATGTGTGTGTGTGTGTGTGTGTGTGTGTGTGTGTGTGTGTGTGTGTGTGTTTTCATGTGTTCAGCCCTTCACCTTCTTGTACGGCTTGGGTGATTGACCACTGTACTTATGACCAATTGCCCTACTCTGGGTCACTGCATGTCGTTCTCTTTCTGAATCTCCAAGGCATCTAATGAAGCCAATCTTTGGAGATCCCTTTGGACACTTAACTATTATGGCAAATTGCCTATTCAGCAGGCTAGCTAGTCCTGTTGCTGATCTCTGCTAACCTTCAAGGTCAACCTGCTCTCGTAAATGAGGACTCATAAAGATGTATCATGCCCAGCATTTGCAGCAGTTGGCCACATTCAAAAACCTCACCTGCTGCTTTTTCCTTCTGGCCCATGTAGAGAAGGGACAGGAAACTCTAAAACTATCCAGGCTGTTTCTGGAACTCTTTGGAATTGCCTTCAGGTACCTTTTAAAAAATATCCTCAGTGGTGTCAAATCTTTGAGTGAGGACTGGGCATTTGGCTTCAGGCCAAAATGAGGCTCATCTGTTAAAAAGAGTGGGCACCCATGCAGTGGGAAGCATTATTTTTCATTGAAAAACTGAGATGTGATAAAATTCATGAGATGATGTCTTCTGTAGCTCTAAACTCTAAAGGCAGTTTCAAGAGAAGAACTGGAAGAATACTTTGAATGATGGGGCACCTGGGTGGCTCAGCTGGTTAAGTGTCTGCCTTTGGCTCAGGTCATGATCTTGGGGTCCTGGGATCGAGTCCAGTATTGAGTCCCACGTTGGGCCCCCTGCTCAGTGGGAAGTCTGCTTCTCCCTCTCCCTCTGTCCCTCCCCCCCACTCATGCTCTCTCACGTGTGCTCTCTCAAATAAATAAATAGAATCTTTTAAAAAATACTTTGAATAGTGGCAGTGTTACTGGAGTAAGTGCACATCACCAAAAGGGCCTGCTTTGAAGAACTCCAGCTCCATATGCTCTGCTAGGCATTTTAACAAAGGCCCCTTACATCACAGTTGTACCTCATGGGGTCTTTATTTGATTTTTGTCCACTAATAATGAAGTTTTTCCATCTTTTTGATATATTTTGAAAACACTCTTCCATGATACAAAGTAATATCGCAGTGGGCAAACAAGAAAGAAGGTACTGGTTCAGTGCCTCCGAAACACGGACGTGGGGAGAAGAGGCACTATTTGTTTACTCGTCTGTTAAATGGAGGCTAGAGTTCCTGTTTGTGACCATCCAGTTTTATCACGTAGAAATGGCATTCCCAAAAAAACCTTTTGTATTCAGCTGTGAAAGCATGAAGCATTCCTCATTTCTCATTTGACCATCTACCAGAGAACCAGAGCCACAAATATCTGTTAGTGGGCAAGAGGGTCAGACCGACTGGATTTGAATTCTAGCTTTGACAGTTCTTGGTGGACATGTTCTTTAACCTTCCTATTTCCCGGGGTTGTGTGTTTTGATATGAAGATAGTAATACTAGGGTTCTAAGGTTGTTGGGTGGGGGGATCGAATGAGTTCATCTATGCTTAGAACAATGCCTGGCACATAGTAGGGGGTCAGTAAATGAAAGCCATGATCATTATCCACGAGCAGAT